AGATGCAACTGAATGCCCCTTCTTTTTTGTCATCCCACACTTGTTGCATTTATCTCGCCGTGCAAAATTTAAATTACCACACCTAAAATTAAATATCATGAGTATAATACTTAGGGTCGCCACATATCCAGTCACCTTTACTAGTGCTAACGGACATTCCCACTTGCCCTGCTTTTTGTAAATTTCGCGCCCAGATAAATTCATGAGCTTTATCATTAAAATAGAAGTAACAAAAGCTAAACAAATTTAAGGGTATTCGTGTATTTTTACATAATATTTTTTAAGTTAAATTAACTTGATATACACGACGAGTTACAAAGTACACTAGCATATTTTCTAATGTCACACTTACATGAGTATGGATTATTATCGGCTTTCATCATCTTTATGGCTCATAAAAAATTTCATATTCATACGCCTTAGTTACTATTTTTTAAATACCTTCTTATTTTATATAGTTACACCAAAATCCCATTGTGTTTTTTTGGGTATACTTTCCCTCTTAATATTTTTAAGCTTATTTTGTTACGCTGAGAGAATACTCCTTCAATATAGCTGGCCTTTTAACTTAGAAATTATTATGAAAGCTTCAACTACTTAAGCTTATTTACATAAGTCTAAATAATTTCACCGCAGATTTACTTTTGACCTAACTCCGGTCCATCAAAGACAAGACCAATAGGAATTGTTGGATTTTAAAACTTCTTTCATCCTTATTTCGCCTTACATACAATCATATATATATATATATATAACAAGGAACTGCATGTTTGTTGATCTTAGCTAAAGACTCATCTGGAAGTAATGCTGTCATAACTGTGACTTTTCTCTGTAACCATTCAGCCCGCTTGCATATACGTTTAGTTTTTGATAAAGTATTTAAGAACATTATTTATACTTGACCAAGTAATGCTTTATTGGCTGTCATAGGCTACCTAAAATGCACAGATGTGTGCATACTAAAGTAAAGCCACCGTAGAACGGCGGCAGTTCATAGATTCTCCATTCTTATATTTATTATACATCCCCTAATTAAGTATAACATGAACTATTCGGTTTGCTGATTCTAGGACATATGCTAAAATGCACATCTTTTTTTTTTACTTATCTATTTTTTTTTACTTATCTATTTTTTTTTACAAACCACTATTACAATCCACCATTAGCTCATGTAATGAATCTGACTTTAAAATCCTGTTCAAGTGCAATGTGATCGCCGCTAAAAAGAAGTTTTCATCCTTATTCACTGAAACTTTGATGGTAACTATTCATATAGTAAGCATCTTGCAGAACTTAAGGTTATCTAAAATGCATATGTATATTTCTCAATGATTTTTCCGATGGCTTTTAGAATAGACAGCCTCATTCTAACTGAATTTAGTACATTCAATCATCCAATTAGTTTTTTCATATAATAAAACCTTGTTTACATGCTAGCTAGATACATTTGCATAAATAGTACGTTATATGTTAAAATACTCTCTCGTATCTGTTTACATTTGCCCTTGTCAACGGTATACATACATATTATTTTAAGTTACTCCAATAT